CATATCACACCGTCATGAAGAAGAATGCAATCTCGCCATTTGCAGCAATTTGCAGTGATGTGGGAATAACGGAGGAAAGGTGGATGGAGATAGTGACACAGAAAAAGAAGAACCACGTGTTCTCTCGCTCGAGTATGAAAACTGGTAAGTCTGTTTGTACACTGTGGAATGGAATAGCGGACATTAGAGATGGAGGGGAGAGGACAGAGGGAACAGGAAGAGATTAAGGGAAACTTTGGGGACAAGGAAAGGTGGTGAACAGAAGTGAGACAGGACAGCAACCCTGACCCGAAGAACGATGGAGAGACATGAACACTGCACGTGCATGCATTATAGAAAAAGCACCCAATCAAAACCGCGTTAATTTTTATAAATTATGTATGTTGAAGAAGATGTAAATAAGAGCTGGGGGTGTGGCTTACTTGTTAGAGAGCTTTCCTAGCACGTGAAACCCTAGGTGCAAACCTGAGCACCACACGAGCCAGTCAGGTGATTGGGCCTATGATCACAGCACGTGGGCAGAGGAAGCATGAGAATCAGTTGTCCCAGGACAGGGTGTGGCACAGTGGATTCCCAGTCAGGTGATGGGCCTATGATCACAGCACGTGGGCAGAGGAAGCATGAGGATCAGTCATCCCAGGACAGCGTGTGGCACAGCAGATTCCCAGGCTAGTCTGGGAAACATGAGACCCTGTCAAAAACAAACAAAATAACATGTTTTTAAAAAATCAAATAACATATGAGCCAGAGAGATGGCTCTGTTGGTTAAGGTTCTTCCAACCTTAACCTGGTGACCTGGGCTTAATCCCCTAGGACTTGCATGGTAGAGGAAAAGAACTGACTTCTGAAATCTATACACATGCTGTGGCACAAGCACATACATGCATGCGCGCGTGCACGCACACGCACATGCACACACACACACACACACACAGAGAGAGAGAGAGAGAGAAAGAGTAGGGTCAGGGAGAGAGTAAATAAATGTAAAAAAAAACTGATCAACCAAAAATTATCAATATGCCAAAAGATAGCACTAACAAAGTTAGGAAAGCCAATGATGTAAACCTGTAGTCAGAGAACAGAGACTATAGCTCATGAAAAGGTACTAGCCTAGGAACACACCAGCACATAAATCAATCAGTACATACCTGACAGACTGAACACCTTAGACTCGGGCTACTGGTTGAGTGGACTGGACAAAGGTGACAGCCACATCAAGTGGCATGCGCTTCTGAAAAGAATGGAAACAGAGGGCAAACCTCAGATTCATTAGATCTGGGTAAGAGCTTTGTGTTTTAGTTTCTTCTGTGTGCTTTGAAGTTTTCATCAAAGCAAAACAAGAAATTGATGTACAGTCTACTCCTGGAAAAGTACTAGACACACTGAACAACGTCTCAGTGTGTGATGCTTGTTAGATTTCTGTTTCCTCGTGGCCACCTGCCCCAGCTAAGCTTACGCAGCCGTTCTAGGGTGTTGGCAGCTCTGCCATCTTAGGGCCCCGCTTTGTGACCTAGTGGAAGCATGCTTAGACTCTGGCCACCACCAGAAAAAGACTGATGGCCGGGAAGTGGTGGCACAAGCCTTCCATCCCAGCACTCGGGAGGCAGAGGCAGGAGGATCGCTGTCAGTTCAAGACCAGTCTGGTCTACAGAACGAGTTTCAGGACAGCCAGTGCTACATAAAGAAACCCTGACTCAAAAAAGGAAAAAAGGATGAAAAAATAGAAAAGGAGAAAAAGCAAAAGCTGCCATTTTCTGAGCTGGACACAGCACGCGGCTTGTCTCCACCTAGAAGCTGGGTCCACTCTTTGGCTAGGAGGCAGCAGCAGCACCACCACCACCACCCCCACTTACTCTGACACTAAAATACTGGGTAGAAAAGAATGGAGATAAAGGCAGTTCCCAGGAAGACTAAGGAGTTCTGTAAAGAGACTGTGGTTTCACTCAAATGTAGCTTTCTTACAATATGGTATGTTCCTATAGAGATCCGCAGTTCACATTATACGGTATGTTCCTATAGAGATCCGCAGTTCACATCTAATTCTTTAGCATTACGACGGAAATGGAAAGGCTAGACCAGTCAGGGAAAACAGCAATAGAAAAGCAAATGCTTTAACTGGTGAACTAAAGTGTGTGAGAGAATCATTCTCGTAGAGCAATCAAGGTATTTAAAAAATCCATGACACTCAACATGGTAATCGACATACTCGGCAGTAAGGATGGAGCTGTCTTATGTGGTGGCATACGTGATGGAATGAAATTCATCGTATATTAACTCTGCATATGAGATCAGAGCTATTCAGATAAAAAAAGAAAAACCAAGCGAGCAAATAATAAAATACAGTGGACAGCACCTTAAGAAAATAGGTTATTGCGTGACTGCCTCCCCCTGATGGAAGCATTCTGCACTGGATGCAAGGAAACTTAAGGAGACACAGCCCTACAAAGCCCAGCAAGTTACCAGGATCTCGAGACCCACCCCAGGAGAGTTCAAAAACAGCAGACAATCTTGGGGGTGTTGGGTGGGGAGAGAGCCTCAGGAGCGCTACCTTCAAGCTGTTCCCACAGCTCCAGGCGTTCAGCTTTGGGGAGTCGTCATCTATGCCGGGTGGCTTTTTGGTAATGCAGTAGATTTGAGTCACTCATATCCCTGCTAGTAACGCCAACAAACCCATTGGTTTACCAAGCAAGACTTCGGCAGAACCATCTCTTTGGTTGTTGCTGGTGTCCTGTTTGGGGTGAATAACGTTTGTTCATGTCTCCCCCCAAAAAGTCAACACAACAAAGCTCTGTTTTCTTTCAGGAAAGTAAAAGAGATTTTTGTTTGTCTTTTCAAGTGATCTTTATCTAAAGAGTGAAAGGCCCTAGGAACTGTATCCACAGTACATTCCATATTTTGTTATCACTTTCATTTAAGTAAAATATTTTCACAGAAATTTAAGGTATCAAATGAGCAGAAGACACAAGGCCACCTCTAATATCTGCACATACAAAAAATTGTTTTAAGAAGTCACAAAAATATTGGTATTCAAATTTTAACTTGAAGCTAGCACATGGCTAGTGCTAATGCCGTATTTTCCGAGGTAGTCTAAAGAGCAATTAGAAGATGAACCAGGAGCGCTTGCGTCAAAGTAAATCTATGTGCATCAGGTGTTCCCATTTAACACAGAAAAAAACAAATATCAGGCATGGCTTAAAACTACAACAGATTAGTTATCTATAATGAGATCCAAGTACAGTAAATATTACTTAATGAACTGACAAGTCTATTAGCGAATCAATTCCTAAGTTGATTTGACAAGATGAAAGAGTTATTTATTCAGTAGGAACCAGGTGAATAGAAAAAAATTAGTTTTCCTGTTTGCTGTATGAGCCCAAATACTACTGCTCTGGGAGCTTCTCCATCTGCCACAAGGGTTCCTCGAACTGATTTGTGGCTTTATCTAAAAATGTTCCTTCTCGTTGTATTTTTACTTTGAGTCAAGTGTCAAGGTCTTCCCAGTATTAAAAAGCACAGTGTAAGTCGAACCACGGGTAGTACAAAGAGAAAAGTCTCCTCAGAATCAAGCCCCGTATTCATTTCTGTCGCTGTGTTGGTGTCTGTTATAGGATTTCCTATTGTCAATAAACATCACCACAAACGATGCTAGTCAACATATCCTGGCACAGGCTTTCCTTTAAGCCTGTGCTTTAAACAAATAGTTATATGTAGATCTTTTTATTGCAGACGGGAGTTTGTTCACCTATTTCCTCTTGATTCCCGCGTCAGAAACTTTGTTCTACTGTCAATAGAGCGCTCTCACCTTCCCACCACCATCAAGAGACAGAACAAGCTGGGGCAGGGGAGGAGACTTAAAATGCAAGCATGAGAACCTGAACGCCATCCAGAAACCACATGTGTAATACTAGTTTAAAATGCAAACCACGTCTCAGCAGCATGAAGCTTCTTGCTTTTGGTCCGAAGTCACTGGAGAATATGAGGTTTGGGTTTGTGTAGTAATTAGTGTTAAGCAGAAAGCTGGTGCACATTTAATTTCTACATGTGTAGGCTATAGGCCTAGCCCTAAAATCTAGTGTTAGATCATTTAACATTTATGTAAAGATGGTGGAGAGATACACCTGTTGTCTCAGTTACCTGGAGGAGGATTAATTGAGTTCAAAAGTTAAAGACCAGCTAGGTTGAGACAGTGAAAGATCTCTCTTCATGTTTGTCAAACCCAAGTGTGCTGTGGAATAATCCTTTTGTATCCTGTGAAGATTTGTCACCTGGATTGATTTAACAAAACACTGATTGGCCAGCAACCAGGCAGGAAGTATAAGTGGGGCTATCAAACTAAGGATGCTGGGAAGGAGGGCAGAATGACAGGAGAGAAATATGGGTTAATTTAGATATAAGAGTTAGGTAGTAAGAAGCCTAAGCTATTGGCCGAGCATTTATAATTTATATTAAGTCTCTGAGTCAGTTATTTGGAAATGACTGCTGGTTATTTGGGAGCAGGTGATCGGGACAGGAAAACTCTGCCTACACTATTGTAGTGGCACGTGCTTATGGCCCCAGAACTATATAGGCTGAGGTGGGAAGGTCATCAGAATTCATAAGTTGGAGACCAGACTGACAGTAAATTTATTCATTTTGAAACTTACTGTCAAATTTAGAGAAACGCTGGAAGGAATTCTCTTCCTTAGTCTTCTTATATTTGCCATGGAGATTTCCTGTGCTCTCCAGAAAAGCAGTGAGAGCAGGCTGAGGCTCCAGATCTTTTATCACCTTACCTCATGGAAGGATAACCTGGTTGAGAACCATCACATTCCCAAGGAGTCAGTCCCTCTGGGGGATTTTAAGACATATTTTCATATGGCAGAATGTAGCTCGGGTTATGTGTGTGACAGGATTTGAACCAGAGTCCAAAAGTACCAAGTACCTGCTCCACCACCGAGCTCTATTGCCCACGTTTTACTGTGAGAGGAATGTACAGTCAAAACACGAGTCTGCACTGAGCATATGTGGAAAGATATTTAATTGTAAAATAGAAAAGGAGGCCAGAGTACAGTCTTGAAGGTAATTGGTTCTTTATACAGGTCATCTAGAGTAGTTTTGGGGTTAAACGTTTTCATAAAGCAATAAAAAAAAAATAAAGAGCTTGAAGTTACATTTTACGAAACAGAATGGAAGAGCCTGCTAAATGTCCACACACTGTGGAATGGACCGTGTTGTGACGAAACTGAGCTGCAACGCAGGCCTGGAGCTTCACAGGGAATAGCGGGAGTTACATTAGACGTATCTATAGCATCACTGAGTACAAAAGGTTCCTGTTCTACATACAAAAGCAATTTTCCATAAGAATAATTTCTTGGGCGGGGGGAGTAAGTCCATGAAATATTTCAGAAACCCAAATGCACTGAGTTTGCCAAAAACATTATCTTAAAATCCAGCGCCTCAAAGTGCTCACGTGGAAATCATGATGGAAGGCACAGAATACAGTCTCACGTCCCCATAATGGAATTTTCAAAAAAGCATAGATTTTGCAGATTCACGTTCTCTTGCAAGCTGCTCCTTCCAAGAACATTGTCAGGGTTGCCAGCTAACCCAGCTGCTTACTTCCTCTCAGTGGCTGACAGAACGACAGCGTGCCTTATGTGTTTCCTGGTAACTTTCATCGTCTTTGTGGGAAACATATCTAAGCAAGGGATGCATCTTAAAATCATAGAACATGCAGAATATGTACAAACAAAATTTTAAAAATATTTGCTTCATATACATGTAAATCTACTTGCGTGTAGCTGAAATTGAACAAATATAAAATTTCTGCTTCCTAAAAAAATGTTTTCAGTGAACCTGAGACAACTTAAAAGCTGTACAAAAGTTCCTGGGAGAAATCTCTTTGCAGAGTTATTTCCAACATCAGTCCACCATAATTAGCACACATTTGGTCTAACCAACAATGACCACCCTTCGAACTTCTGTTTCTGAGATATGAAGTCTGTACCCAAATCAAGAATTGCCTGTAACAGTGCCTTACTATGGTTTTTGGATCTCCTCAACAATCTTTATCAACTCATTTGTAACTGTAAAAAAAGAAACAACCAAAAAACTATTTACAGAATTCAGTTTTAAATACATTTCACAAGTTCTAAAGTTTTATATTACAGGAATTCAGAGCTCATGGCTTAAGTCCCATTACCAATCTGTAGTATTTTCTAGTATTCAGTACTCCCGTGGCTGTGTCTTTACTGTGCGCAGTTCAAGACTGCATTCTTTCTGGACAAAAGGTAAAATCAAACTCATGTTCGTGTCAGGCGGCTAGACAGCCTCTTTGCTGGTCTGGAGGCGCGTCATGGCCTCCAGCTTCTGCCTGTAGGCCTCCGCCTCCTGCTCCTTCTTGAGCAGCTGCTGCCGGTACTTCTGCGCCTCACGGTTCGCCTCGTCCAGCTGTTTCTGAAGTGCTTCTCTCTCCTAATTTAGAAAAGAAAATCGTGTTTTCAATTTTTGCACAAATATATTAACATAATCATGTGTCCTTCAAAAAATACAAGGAAGACAGACAGACAAAACTCTGTGCAGTGGCCACAGCAGATGCCTAGTGGTAGGTACCTCCAGGACGGGCTCATCTTTTCCACCAATTCATAGGTAACTCCCAGTTTTGTTCTCTGTACTATGAGATAGAGATTACTCTATAATTTCAAGAAAATTATTTCTAATTTATAAATAAGAATAACAGACATAAAATGTGCACCTGTTCTCTTATGTACTGAAGAAAATAACAGAAGACTGAAGAGGAAACTATGTAAACACACCTCATCCCTCCTCAGAAAACAACCACAGAGCTGAGCCCCTACCACATGGCTGAGCAAAGGCAACTCCACAACTCACTTCTCATGTGTCAGGCTATGAGTGAGAAAAGTAACGCTCAGAAATGATGCAGCCTTCCCAAGAACACCAAAAGAATTGGGTGTATGGTATTCAGATGTTACTAATTTCAAAACGACCCATGCTCCTCTACACTACCAAGCCAAATACCTGAACTCCATCACAACAGGTGCTAGTCCAGACTTGTGAAGTCATACAGTGGGCAATCCATAAAAGGCAACTCTAACAACCTTCTACTGTTAAACAGGTATAAAATCTTTAAATCCCCAGTTATTGAGAGCCAGCATATACAAACCCAGTCCAATGAAAACAGCATACTTATTTCTTCTCTTCACTGTACCCATTATCAAGGAGAAAGAGACCAACACTATAAAGAACCCTTCCATATACCTGTAGTAAGCACATGGAGAAAACCTAATCCACACAGTCCCAGGCTCAGGGAAGTTTCCTATCTCAGGAACGAGGTAACCTCATCACAAAGACCTATGATCCGCTAGTGAGGCAGGAACCTGAATGTAACTGAATTACAGAAAAGACCAGGTTTACACTGAGCATGCCCAGAGGGAGCGGAAGGTGAGGGAGGTCCTTGAGGACGGTCTGAGATCTCCTCCTACATATCCACTGCCTCCTGACACAGGCTCATTTTAAGTACCCAAGACTGCCTCTGCTTTACTGCTCAATTGCCCCTACCAGGAGAAACATGCAGCCCCCCTCTTCCCTCACCCCCACCTTATGATCCCACCCACTGTCCTACGCTGAGAATGAAATTAGATTTAGTATTTTTTTTCTGATTCTTATTGCTCCACCAGATATGGGAGCGACTGAGGAGTTCAAGAAAGGAATGTCTTTTATTTCCAGTTTCAGCAATACCAGGTCCTACCTAATACCTTACATTGCCGTTTCCCTTCTCTTAGAACCTTCCAAGATGCTAGGAAAGATGGCAGCCAGAAAGATGGAAGCTGGAAGAATCAAGCCTCGGGGAAGCAATCAACACTAGAACCGCTGTGACCTATGCAGGACTCTGAGCTTGCCAATGACCAGGGGTAGAGGAGAAAGGTAGGGCCTGGTTGTGTTTCCCTGGGAGCAAGACCTATGAGGAGCGAGTGGGCTTAGCTCGCTTTGACAGCACATGTGCTAAAATTGGAATAATACAGAGATTATCATGGCCCTTGCACAAGGACAACACACAAACTCAAGAAGCATTCCATAATTTTCCTCCAGCTCCAGGAGGATCTGATGCCTCTGACTTTGCCAGGCACCAGCTCTGTGGATGCACACATACACATAACTAAAAAAAAAAAAAGAAAAAAGAAAAAGAATGAAACTAAATCTTTTTAAGTTTACATGTGTTAAGAAATAAGATCTTTTGTTAGTCAATGTTTTGAATATACATAAAATTTTCCCCAACTGCATAGGAAATATTAGAACAAACTGCCCATAAGGGATCATCTAGTATTAGTTATTTATTAACACCAGCATTTGCAAGGGATTTACTATTACTGTAGAAGATGAAAGCAAATGGAGTGAGACAAACAGTGTAAAGTGAAATGGCTTAATCCTATCTTCCTTATCTCACTTCACACACACACACACACACACACACACACACACATACACACACACACACACCCCCCACACACCACCCAGCTGGGGTCAAACACAGAACCTCACAGATTCTAGGCAAGTAGTCAATCACTGAGCAGTAAGTAAAATACATTTTAATACAAATAAAGTAATAGCTTCCTTTCACCAATTGGGCCAAATAAAAGACTCATTTCATCATCTTTTTGTCTAAATCTGTAAAATGTAAAGACAAAGATCCTTAGTATTTGTTGATCTTTTGAATATGATTAATACATAGACTTTTGGTGTTGTACCTTTGATTTTTCAGAAATGCAAAGTATGGAACAAAATATGGAAGAAGAACTTGTTTACCATCTCAGTTTTCAAAGCAAATAAAAGTCTGAGAAATGGAAAATGTTATTTAACTGAGACCTTTTTCTGATGTCATAGTTACTAAACATACTCTCTTTACATAGCAGTGTTTCACACATTAATAGTGCAACAGGCTGACAGCTGACATTTTTATTTAAATATAAATGTTACTCCTATAGATTTAATATTTTATAGTAAAGCCACACTAGCCAATTTTTACATTTTTAGTATTTATTGTGAGTTTCTGTGGGCTCATGTGCTACAGCACATATGTGTTCAGAGGACAACTTTCTGGGGTCAGGTGTTTTTTTTTTGTTTTTTTTTTTTTTTTTTTTTTTTTTGCTTCTAACCTTACCCAGACTTGGGATCAAACCCAAGACGTCAGGCTTCCACAGTGATTCCTTCCATCTACTGAGCCATTTTGTTGGCCCAATTTTGATATATTGTTATTGCACATAAATGGTATGGATGTTTTGCCTGTGTGTGTGCCTGTGCACCCTAAGAGTACAGTACCTAAGGAGGCCAGAAGAGGGCATTAGATCTTCTGGAACTGGAGTTACAGACTACTGTGAGCTGCCATGTAGGTACTGGGAATTGAACATGGGTCCTCTGAAAAAGGAGCCAGTGCTCTTAACTGATGAGCCATCTCTCCAGCCTCCAATTTTGATATTTCATATAGCAATAATTTCATCAGTTAATATGTGGTGCTAAGGTACTGTTCTAGGGATAGGTTGTAGCTGCTCAGCATCCAGGAAGCTCAGGGCTCAACTCCCAGCACTGGAGGAAAAGAAAGATGTCTAACATCACAGATCTCTAAGAAAATGAAACCCTAGTAATAATCAAGATTGACAGCCACAACATACACCATAACCCCGAATTAATATATCAGGTAACAGAACCATAGGGCAACAGGTGATTTCAGCTCTATTTTCAAAGATGATTCTCTAATTCTGCCATAAAAGCAATGTGTGGGACAATTTGACTGTTTTAATATATACTTTTTGAATGCTCAAATGTATGTCTTTGTTCTAGCTATTATAAACTGAAAGACACAATTACAATAGTTTATCTCTACCTCAACACACACTATAGGGCAATCCGGCTAGTAAATATCACTTACTGAGCATTTACTATATGCTCACCACTGAACTCAGCCTGCTTCTGTCCCCATTTCATCTCCAGTCTCACTGTGTAGCTCTGGCTGGCTTGGAACTTACTATGTACACTGGCCTAGCCTCAAACTCACAGAAGGGATTAAAGGCATCCGCCATGATACCAGGCTTTTCTTTCACGTAGTCTTCAATCAATTGCTGATGCTATTCATTTTTCGTCTTGTTGATGGACAGGCTATGCCTTGAAATGTCAAATTAGCCAAGGTCACACACTCAAAATATCAGAAAATTCAAACCTACTGTTGAGTCCAAACCCATGTCTCTGAGAACAAGCACGTTTTTAAGTTTTAACTTATTATTATTACTAGTTATTATTGTGTGTGTATACTGTGTGTATGCGCATGTGCACCATGTGTGAAGGTTAGAGAACGACTGTAGAGCTGATTCTCTCTGCCTTTATATGGGTTTCAAGGATCGGACTCGGGTCACCAGGCTTGCATGGCAAGCATTACTTGCTGAGTCACTTTGTCAGCCCAGCACACACAAAGACACACAAACACACACACGTCTTAATGTTTTATTTTTAGTTACGAGGCACTTATATGTCAGTGCAGGGCTGTATACATGTGAGTGTAAGTACCTACAGAAGCCAGAAGTTGTGAGGTCCCCTGGAGCTAGAGTTACAGCAGCTGTGAGCTGTTTGACAAGAGTGCTGTGAATGGGATCTGGTTCCCTGCAATAGCAGTACATGTTCTTAATCACTGAGTCATCTCTCCTAGGCCCTAACTACATTTCTTTTTCCTTAAATAAAGGACAGAGTGTACCTTACTACTACAAATTATACCAAGTTTCTCACATTTGGAGAAATCACAGAAATCAGCAGACCCACACTATAATGGATGAGCCTCTCCTTGGGAAAACCAGCTTCACGATTATAGATCTCCCTTAGCAGGTATTAAAGGTCTATTTTTTAAATTACTGTGTGTGTGTGTGTGTGTGTGTGTGTGTGTGTGTGTGTGTGTAGGTGCCAGTTAAGACTAGAAGAGTGTGTCAGATCTCTCTGAGAGTTGCAAGCTGTGTGTGGGTGCTGGAAAGTGAACCAGGTCCTCTGGAAGAACAGCCAGTGCTCTTAACTGCTGACCTGTCCCTTCAGCTTCAAGTCCCATTTTTTTTTTCCAGGATAAAAGCTAGGCCAGGTATCAGAACTATTTGCTTGCAACTAAAAATCAGCTGTCCGGATGTGATAAATGATGTGATTTGTATCAACATAGTTCTTGACACACAGCCACAGCTACTTGATTTGAACTGTCTGTGGCTGCTGTCTCTAACACAACAGACCTGGGCAGCTGCAGGGTTCATATGGTTCATAAAGCCAAAAAATACCTTTACTTGGCCTTCTCCATAGAAGACCCTCTTCTTCCCCAACTCTGGAGAAAGAACTTCCTGAGAAGAGATAGAGGGCATGTGACTATATAGAACTTTAAACCCTGGCAGAAGAAAGACAAACCAAGCATGGCTGGAGATTCAGCTGTGATTTCAGCACCCTGGAAGCTGAGGTGAAGAGGATTGCTGTAGTGAAAGACTAGCCTGGGCTATAAGGCTACTCCTAGACCAGCCAGGTCTATAGCAGAACCCTACCCCAAACCAAACAAAACCAAGAAAACATATAAAATAGGTGAAATAAACAAAAATAAATTTAAAAAATTATATCAAGACAGCACTTAAAATTTACAGATCATTTTTCATAAAAGCACTAATATGAAGGACCCTTTATTCATACCTGACTAAAGGACTCAGACATTTCATTTACAAAAGAAACCATCCAGATAGGCATGGTGGCATATAACTTTGATCCCAGTACTTGGGAGCAGAAGCAGGCAGATATGTTTGAGGTCAGAGCGGTCTACCTGGTGAGGCCTGGGTCAGCCAGAGTGACATAGTGAGACCCTGCCTCAAAACAAACAAACAAATACAAAGAGGATGAGAAAAAGGAGGAAAGACAAGAAGGAGAAGGAGAGAAAGTAAGAAAAATAAGGTGGAGGAACAGACAGGGTAGCTCAGGGGTAGACCTAGAATGTGCTTAGCATGTATCAGGCTTGATCCTGAACACCCACCATCCCCACAGCACAAAAAAAAAAAAGGTCTAAAAACAAACAAACAAGAAAACTGACTAATAAACAGTCATCTCCAGAGGGCGGGAGAGATGGCTCAGCAGTTAAGAGCACTGACTGCTCTTCCAGAGGATCTGGGTTCATTTCCCAGCACCCACATGGCAGCTGTCTGTAACTCCAATATCTGACACCCTCACACATACATGCAGCCAAAAAACCAATGCAAATAAAATGAAGCAATAAATTATATAAAGTTAGCTCTGACTGGAATTCTATAACTCCCTAAGAAGCAGAGAAACCTGGCTCCTAAAACTCTTAGCGCATTGTCTCCCTCCCAAATGCATATTTACTTCCATTGAACAGCTCAAGGCTGAATCACCATAAAAGATACACTTCCCCTTCAAAGCATCTTCAACAGGGAGCCAAGAAGCAGAAGCAAAGTTGAATGCACTAACATCTTATTTGTATCTGCCTCTCCAAAATGAAAGCCATTTCATGTTCCTCACTGTCACAATGTATATGTGGAGGAACCACAACATCTATAATTAACTTTTAACAATTTAAATGAACTTTTCCAGAGATTACTGACTGCTGGAAAATTCTTATAAACAGCCACCCTGTCAGCTGTGAACCCCATGAAAAATACTGAGAAAGACCCATGAAAATTGTGCATGAGTTGAAGTTTTATATTTCTTAGTAGTTTTTTTTTAAAATCTAAGCACTACTAATACGCTTGAATGACATAAATTCTTAATGTCGTCCTGGGTAACAGGGAATACCAACCTAGCCTCTACCCACAGTTGTGACAACCAAAAATGCTTCTAAACATTGCCAAATATCCTTTAGGGTCAAAATCTCCCCACTTGAGAATCAGTTTTACAAAAAATTCTAGGGTTAAAGTTTGGTCGAGATGTCATCTAAGGAAACTGCATAAAAGCTTGCTCCTAGGATAATTCTACTGTCATCAAAGAAAATACATGTAAAAGAGTGACTTCACATGTTGTAGGAAAACAGTTCTTGGCCTGACATGAACACTGTGACTCCAGGTGCTCCATCTCTTCTAGTCTATGCAGCAACTAGACTAGAAACCTAAGAGGTCACATCACTTTGGCTTAAGCATTTCCAGCGATGAGAACAAAGATGTCCATTACCAAAAAGTTCTACTGAAAACAAAACAAATGTAAAACTCCACTGTTCTTTATACCAAATCAAACCAATCTCCCTAAAGTTTCCTTCTTAGTTCTACTTAATTACTGCACCTAGTTCCTCTTCTCTTTTGTTTATCTGGAATTACTTCCCCTATTCTCTGAAGACTAAAAAAGGAATCAGGCTGGACTTGGAGGGAAACAGGCCCCCTACTCATTAGTAAATAAAGGGATAAGCTACAATCACTATGGTTAGAAAATAAACTGTTAGTCAGGTGGTGGCGCACACCTTTAATCCCAGTCCTTGGGAGGCAGAGGCAGTTGGATCTGTGAGTTCAAGGCCAGCCTGGACCACAAAGCAACTTCCAGGACAGTTAAGGCTACACAGAGAAACCCTATCTCAATAGACCAAAGAAGTAAATTAATTGTTAAATAAACTTACATTTAATGAAATTCAAACAATTTTAAATGTTTTATTATAGAATGGAAACAAAGCAGTATTTTTTTTTTCACTTTCTATGTTCCAAAGAGACCAGCTGACAATGAAAAAAGGACAATAAAGTGAACTTCAGAGGTGCGGAGATGCTCACCCAGTAATGTGCTTATTGTGCAACCATGAGAACGTGAGTTTGGATCTCCAGGACCCATGTAAAAAGCTGGGCATGGTGCACACTTGTAATCACAAATGCTGAGGCAGAGGCAGGAGGACCCATGAGGCTTGCTGCTCCGTCTCAACCCACACCCCAGTCTAGCTGAACTGACGAGCTCCAGGCTCAGTGAGGGACCCTCTCTCAAATAAACGAGGTGGAAGGCTGGGGAGATGGCTCATCGGTTAAGTGCACTTGCCGCTCTTGCAGAAGACTTGGGTTCTGTTCCCAGTATTCACAACCATGTTTAGCTCCAGTTTTAGGGTATCTAAAGACCCTGGCCTCTGGAGACACCAGGAACACATATGATACACATATATACAAGCAAAACACTCATGCACATAAAATAAAGCTAATTAGTTTCTTTTAGTAAAAAGAAAAAAAAATAAAAACAAGGTAGAGAGTGATTGAGACACCCATCAACCTCTGGCCTCCACACGCATGCATACACATATACACCAATACATACACACACATACCACATACATACACAAGGGCATTTAGTGAGGACGAAATAAGATTCTGTTTAGTGAAGTAAGTTTTTAGTTCGTAAATCAGAACTGTCCTATAGGTGTCACTTTAAATTTTGAGAAATAAAACATCACACCCAATAGTTAACATTTAAAATTTTACTAGACATCCTGTATAAACCATTAGCCATAGATTCTTTTGTGTAAATTTTAAGGCAGGCTTTATTTATAACTAGACTCTGTTTCGTTTGATACTTGTGATTATGCCTACAATGTACCTATCTGCTATTTAATATATATGAGACTCTAGCTGTCTTTAATATTAAAGAATTGTGTTGCCATTCACTTACCAAACAAAACAAACCCCTTTCTATGATAATCAGAGCCTTTGACAAGAACAGCTAAGCAATCATCAACTTTACACACAGATGCAATAAAGGTAAAGAGGGTGCTGAAGTTATCCGTTCTCATGAAAACCCCAGAATGAAGTTAATACTCATCTAAATTCCAGTTCAGGAGAAAATAAAACCAAGACTCAAAGCTTATAGGTCAAGAGCTTGAGCAGTATCTACTATCAAAGATATTTCTATTGCATTTACTCTTCAAAGTTACTTAAGAATCATGCTTTGTGTGAGACACTGTAAGTTCAGTAGATGGAATTTTATTTATAGTCATGTAAGAGAAAGCTAAGAGATCATGATTTGTTACACCAACACATGAGTTTGGGAGAGGAAAAAGGTAGGTGTTAACACCAGTCTAAATGAATCCAAGTTCTTCAAAGGACGTACTAGGAAAATAAGCAGTTATCTTTTGTACTTACAAACAAAATGTTTAGCAAACATCAACTTTCTGTAAGAGGATTTCCAGGCCAATCAGGGAGAAGAACTTTTGAAAGAAAAGAAATTTTCAATATAAAAAGGGTATCTTCCTCCAGTGACTTATGAGAATGGTATGTATAAGTTTAACAAAAAATAAGGGGTGGAATCCAAGAACCAAAGACAGTACAAGTGTTACCAGCATAACAAACTTTGTTACAAACAAATTCTTCACTCATTCATTCATTCATTCAATGTTTATTTATTGAGGGCTTGCCATATGTATGAGGTCAAAAAGCTAAAACAAAATGATGACACTATGCACTTTCATTATTATCAAAACATAGCCAGTAATAAATAAAAATGACAAATAATAATAATAATGAAAAGAAGAAGAATAAACAATTTATTTTGGATGACTGCAGCAAAACACACCGGGTAAAAGGCTCCTTACTTCAATTTCTGCAGATTCCACCCGGTTCTCAATTATTTCCATACACTGTCTCTTAGCAGGCGGCTCTTCACTGATAACAGTTTCTTCAGCAATGTCTGTTGCTGGTACTGTTAATACTAAAATAAAAAAGGGATACTTGTTACGTCACCCCAGACAACTAAGAGATAAAGTCTCAATACTGTAGGTGCTACTTGCCTGCAGCAAGCAGCCTCAGTCATTTCAAACATTGTTCTTGTATAAAGATGCCCCTATTGGCCACCTTCATGGTCTCTCTGAAGCCCACTTACTGAAGTGGCTACTGAGGGCAATCATATACATAATATACTCATCCACAGCTGAAAGGTCAAAATAATATTAAAGATGCATATTTTAAGAGGTCTCAGGCACCTGCGAGCATAATTCCTTTTACTAGTTTCTGTGTAGTATTCTTACAATTCATGTAAAAACAACAAGTATGCATGGGACGCATATACAGAGTGCACTCTCAAACACACATGCATCACTCTGTGTCTGCTTTACCAACTCCATTTAGATTTCCTTTTCTCAGCACAGAGCTTTGTAATGCCTGCTAGTACTCTACTTGAATGCACACAATTGTGAACACTGTTCCCCATTGGACTAGTGGGCATTATTTACATTCTTAGTGTTTTCATATAAACATGTGCATATAGAGGGCGTGTACCCTGGCTAACATATTTGATAGCCAGGAAGAAAAAAAATTAATTAGTTTTTAAGTCATGAGGGAAATTATGGTCATTTTCTAAGACTATCAAAACTTTTTGTCAAAGTGGGCATGGTGGGACAGAGGCAGGTGGATCTCTGTGAGTTCAAAGTCAGTCTGGTCCACGGAGTGAGACCTTGCCTCAAAAAATAAGTAAATGTTTATTTTCTTATCAAAACATAGCCAGCATTATGGCTCCACAGGTAAGGACACTTGCCACCAAGCCTGACGACTTGAATTCAATGGATGGGATCCACACAGAGAAAGAAAAGAATGGATTCCCTCAAGTTGTGCTGACTTCCACGTGTGCTATGCTGCGCACATTCTCCTCCCAACAAGTAATGGTAAATGCTTTGTAAATTTTTGTCAAAACATTAAAAAATGTCAGCAACAAAGGTAATGCATTTAAAAGTAGTGAAACTAGTATTAATTTAATACAATGTACAGTAATTTAAAACATTAGAAATGGGGCTTAGTAGTTAAGAGCATTGGCTGCTCTTTCAGGGGACCTAGGGTTCAGTTCCCAGCATCAACATGGCAGCTCACAACTGTTTATAACTACAGTTCCAAGGGATCTGACACCTTCTTGTGGCCTCCATGGGCACTGCATGTATGTAGTACACATAAATTGTATGTGTAGAACCATACTTACATAAGTACTTAAAACATCATATATGCTAAGAAAGTATTATTTTATTAATAATAAATTATGTTTGTAACAATTCAAGAATGGAGAAAAAATTGTTAGTGTCAGCCAGGCATGGTGGGATGTACCTTTATAGCTCTTATACAACTGATATTCACCATTCCTCTCCAAAGAGAATCTCAATTTCTTGATAAGGATGTAGATCATGGTCACATAATTTAGCTCAATGCAGACAGAGAAGTCACCTCCCAGCACACGAGATCTAGGGCCTTGGTGTGTGGAACAAACTGCATGGCTGCCTACTAGTTCTTTCAATGAACACCTTGCTAACCGCTCTTCTCTCATTTAGACATTCCTAGTGGACTTGCTGGGACAGGTTCCATACTATTCAGGAAGCTCTGCATTAACTGGCATGGGATGGTCATGCTCACAGTCAGGTGCCTTCTGTAACTGAAGCATTACACCATGCTTCAGTGCTGCCCTCATTCTATACCTCCATTCTGTTCAGATGGTCAGTGACCATGATGCCGAATGGGACATTAACGGGGATCACCTAGACTTCCCAACAGTCTGACTGCTGTCACTACCAGAGTCCATCTACAAAACATCTAAAAGTGCTTAACTCTGATAGTACAGCAATGAGGTTAGACCATGGATATAAAGGAGACCCAGTGAGCTATAAGGGTCAAGTACCAACACGTCTGATTACTTATTCATATCCCCCAAACGAAACAGACTACACTACTGTCAGATTCCTTCATAATTAATGGTTCCACACTGTCATACATATCTTCTCCCTAGAATATCTATGCCAGAAGTAGTAGGAATCAAGAACTCAAGTAGTCCATTAAAGCCAACACTGCCTACAAAGAGTATAATTCAAAGTCAAAAGCGATCAGTTCAGCTATGAGGTTATGGGCTGTTTTGTTTGGTTTTTTTGCAATGGGGTAAAAGTTATAAAACTCTTCAGCGGGTGTCCCTGAAGAAGAAAGCTCCTAACGGCACTATACTCCAAAGTGTAGCACGGTCTCTGAGATGTTCATCTTCAGTGTGTGGCTGAGAAAATGAGGGTGCCCAGGCATGTGATCCTCTTGCCCATATAGGCAGTCTGGCCACAGTACAAGCATACCATGCTGCAAACAGTAAAATGGTTTCATAGCTTTGAAGTCTTCTTGTTATTAACAGGAAATACAATTTGATAGTTTTTCTGACTATTATTGTTCACTGTCACATCAACTAATTTGGTAGAGAACTTCCCACAGAAGCTGAAGTGGCAAGTAATAAGTATACCACACTTAAAACTAGATTGTGCCTGGTTCCTGAACACCTCAAAGTGGTATCTGTTCATCCGCCATATCAAACAGCTGGCGCCCACATGTCCCTTCCTCCGCCTCTAATAACAGCTAGTACACACACTGCCTTGAGACTGTCTGGGGAACAGTGAAAGTGTGCAGTCACACTTCAGATTGCAGCCTTCCTCAAGACCTTATCATGTTGGATCACAGCACCTAATTCAAACCTTCAGGCGTTCACCACATCGGTCCATCAGTACTTGAGAAAGTACATTACCAAGGCCCCAGTGAGACCCATAAGACACCAGCACAGGTATGTCTTCTGGGCACACCCCTAGGATTCACACACAATGGCAGGTTCTCACCCTGTCTGAGGATTAGAAAAAGGTAGAAGAACCCTTTTCTAGGAGCTGTCCTAGAGCCTGCAAGGCAGGAATCCCCTCAGAACACAGTGTTTGTGTGCAAGCACAGGAACAACACATGCACACAGAACAGGATACTGTGAGTCTCACCTGCCCTTCTGTAGCCTACTCTGAGGGGGTGCATTCACTTCATGTGTATAAACAGACAATGAACAATCTGTACCAAACCTGTTTATGTTCATACTCTTTCATGAAGCATGCACATATTCTTTCGCGCTTTCAAAAAAATAATGTCTCTGGAGCCAAGTGGTTGTGACACTCACCTTTAAACCCAGCACTCGGGAGGCAGAGGCAAGCAGATCTCTGGGAGTTCAAGGCCAGCCTAGTCTACAAGAGCTAGTTCCAGGATAGGCTCCAAAGCTACAGTGAGAAACCTCATCTCAAAAAAACCAAAAAGTCTGACTTTAAAGCATTCCTCTTGGAGTTCTGTGCTGGTGGAAAGGAGACACTGGTCATGGCTTCCACAGCTGTCCAGTGTGCTGCTGTGCCAAGACAACGGCACCTCACTGTCACCCTTGTTATCAGAAGACTGAAGTTTTCCAAGCTTGCATATGCCTACCTGTCTCATGTCCTCAGAATCATTTATAATGTGCTTTCTTTTCCAAACTCAACTAGGAATATGATTAGCATTTCCTGTTTTTTGTTGTTATTGTTTGGTTGGTTGTTTTTTGTTTGTTTTGTTGTGTTTTGTTTTGTTTATTTTTGAAATTCACTTAAATCAAAAATAAGTTTCCTGACTACCCACCAGTGCCCAGTCGTATCTCGGGTATTTCACTATGCTAGCATCCTAGACTAAGATGCTCATTTGTGTACTCAAACACTTTTTAAAACAACAGTTCCATCTTTTAGGCTGTTTGTAGGAATATGGCTGATCTTAAGTATCACTGGAAAGACACTATAGCTCAAATGCACATGCTGGGCACAATTCTCTCCAGTTCTAATCAACACAGTCTGGATATGAGTGTAGTACAGACTTCTGGTCTTACAGATGAGCCTCTGCCGTCTCGACAGCAGGAACATCCTCTTGCGCTTGTCTCCACACTTCTAGAGCTCAGCTTCCCAGCTTCCCACACTTTTCAAGCTCTATACCTACCAGAGATCTGGGCCATACCCTCAACTTGTACTGCTAGTAGTTTCTGTTCTTTCACGGCATTTTTTAAAGCTCTCATTATATATGAATTGCATAAAATAGTCTAAAAAATTGTCCAATGCTAATTCTGAATTATTTGCATATTGTTTGTGGCAATATTTAAAGTTCATTTTCCACACAGAATATTTTGAGGCTAATTCCACCTACTAAGTGCTCAAGCAAGCTAATTTTAATACTAGGCTAAGTAAACAAAATCAGGGAATTATATCCATTATAAAAGGTTATATGAGTAATATTCAGTGCATGAATAAGTATTGAATGCAAACCATCACACGGACATCTAGTACTAACCTTGCTGTCCATCAGGCATGGTCACAATGATGGGCTGACCCATCCCACTGGTTGGAATGGAGTGCAAGTTTCCCAGCTGGAGTCCATCTGTAACTATGGTGATGACTTGCTGACCCCCTGAGCTAACTACTTGCTGAATTGCACCATCGACAGATTCTGCGGTAACCACTTCCTCTGTGGCCACTACTAGAAGGGAAAAAGAAAGTAAAAATCATTCAATATGAATATAAATTCATTTTTTTGTCTGTGTCTTTCATACAGGTCAAGTTTACATGGTTTTTAAATGTCATTGCCAAAGGTAATATAGATGTCTATGTAAGTAGTTGACTGAAAGTTTTATAATTTATAATTGAGCTCTAACCACCTTTTTATAACCACATTTTAATAATCTTCACTCCTCTGTATCTCTTCACATGAAGTACAATATAAGATCACTGACTAATAACAAAGGTTACAGATACTTAATGAAATGACGCAACTCTGCCAGGTGATGGTGCACACGCCCTTTATTCCAGCACTTGGGAGGCAGAGGCAGGTGTATCTCTGAGTTTGAGGCCAGCCTGGTCTACAGAGTGAGTTCCAGAACAGCCAAGGCTACACAGAGAAGCACTGTCTCAAAAAAAGACTCAACTCCAATGAGAACTTTATGATTATACTCTAGACATATTTATGTATCAAGGGACATGCAGAACAAACAGGAGTCCCTTTTGGACCAAGTGAACAAAAACAGAGTTGGCCCTGTATGGCAATGTGCAATTCAACTTTTGTACAACCAAGCCCCCAGCTATGCTCTCAATAATTTCTAAGAGGTGCACAGAGAGTTCTTCTGACAGTTAAAAACTCTGCCTTTGGCATTGCCTAAGTAAAAGAAAACAAACTCTCAAGTTGATATGTCAAAACTTCTTCCCCCAGGCAGTCCTACACTGAGCCCCAAAAATGTGTGCATAAAGATATGCTAATTCGCATTCCTAACAGCTTCACAGTAGAAACTGTGAGGTAATGGGCTGGAGAGATGGCTCAGAGGCTGAGAGAACTGACTGCTGCTCCGGAGGTCCTGAGTTCAGTTCCCAGCAACCACATGATGACTCATACCCATCTGTAATGAGATTTGGTGCTCAGAACACTATATACATAATAAATAAATTTAAAATTTAAAAAAAAAGAAACTAAGATAAAACAAGAAACAATCACATACTCGTTGGCAGTAAATAAACTGTGGCCATCATACAATGGAATACAACAAAGTCACTAGAATAACTTTACACTAGTCATGTGAAAAACACGGATGAAAGTAACAAAACAGATGTAAGTAATGAAAACATGTTCTACCTGCCTTCCTCTTATGAACTGAGGAAGATTCTCCTGGAGTGAACTTTATAAAATTCTGTAATAACACGTTTAAGAGGGAGTGGAAAAGGGAAAGGTTTTGACGAAGAGTGACAATTAACTAACACAGTCAAAGGGTCACAACACAAACCCAGAATACCTCAAAACACAAACGAACTTTTGAGAGTCCTCGTTATTTTGTTTGCCTAAGCAATAATTACGTTTTGCTAGCAAGCACATCAGACAATTTCAGGAAAACAGCCATGAGACAACACAGAGAGCACACAGGAGCAATACATCCAGCAGAATAACTACTCATGTTTCCAATGCACCACCTACTGCTTTGATTTCTTTTAAGCATCCATATAAAAAAGAAAGGCTCATGGTTGAATACTAAATACTACTATTTAAAAGCTTCAGCAATGTAAGAAACTTCTGAGGTCACAACAGTAAGGCTCAACTCAAGAACTTTCATCTTTGCATTGTTAGCAGTGACTGCTATTAAAATAATAGGACCTACCTTTCATCTAAAAGGTTCTTTTAAGTTGTGTAATGATAAAGTATGTATGAAAAAAATTAAAAGGAAAACAATTATAAAGACAAAGTACACATCCCAAACCTAGAGAACAATCTGATAGCCAAATGTTGGAACATGTAAGAAAAAACAACCTTAAAACTTTAGAAGATTGTAAATATAAAGTGTATACGTGTGTGTACAAATTGGCTTAACAAAAGGTAACTGTGATATCATAAATATTCATTGATCTAATATAAAAGTCAAGCTATAATGAGGAGAAACAAACAATGTCTGTGCCTTTGAGGTTAAATTACCATGCCATAAACTAAATTAAGGCCATTAAGAAAACATTCCCTGAAAACTATCAAGACTGAACACTTTTATGTAGAAATATTTACATGAAACAAAAACTACATTACAGAAAAATATAACATTTTGAAGGTGGAATCCTATAATCTAACCTGAAATTAAGAACAAAGAAAAGTAAAACCAAAAAGACTTACATGACCCAGTAACTCATTCCTAAGTTTCAAACCCTATTCTGGAATAGACCAAAAACATAATGCATAAAAATTTCCTGATATACTTTACTTTGAGAAAGAGAATTTTCAATGGCCACTAGACACTTTATATCTTTCAAATACATCTAGCAATTATAAATTTTTAAATAGAAAAAAAAGGGAAATCATAGATTTCTATTTAATCAAGGTATTATGTAACTGGACCACAGAGAGCAAAGAAAAGTCATAGGACTACAGGCTAGGGCTAGAAAACAAAGCTACTGGGGTGGTGTATGTGGTGCATATGTATGTACAGGCACGCACGTCCATGTGTGTGCAAGCATAGGAAGAGTTAGGGCAGGCCGTCAGAGATCTTCCTCTACAGCTGGTCACCTTACTAGCGAAAAACAGGGTGTTCCACAGAACACAACTTTACCCTTTTGGCTGGCAAGCCAGCTCTTTGGAGCTACTATGTCTGCCCTCCCAATGCTTGAATTACAGGTGCATGCAGCCATACCGGGCTTTTCACCTGGAAGCCGAGGCTTCAAACTCAGGTCCTCATGTTTGCACGGCAAGCGCTCTTACCCAAAGAGGTAGTCTATGAAAAGCTATTTTTACATTAAACCCTCCACCTCATGGCACCTGAGCATGTGCTAACTGAGTCACAAGACTGGATCTCTCTAATTGGTGTGCATCGCAGTGACACATCGACCTGAACTTCTGCTGCATTCGCATTCCTTAATACCCCACCCCAGCTCTCCAGATCTTCAGTACGACAGAGCACTGAAATGAAGTCTCCACATTTAAACCACCAATGAAAGTTTTCTTTCTCCCTTTTCACTGGTGCCAGTGCCTCACGCACAGTGAGCACACATTCTCCCTCTAAGCTGCTACTGTTAGCCCTGAAACCAGCTGCCTTTGATGGCTTCTGCAAATCTAAGCACTAGCTAAAAAATGCAGCATATCAAAACGGTGATGCTTGTAGACGCTAATGGCCAGAAGTAATTCACAAAAATCTTAAGATTTACCAAGAATCAGGATAACACATATATGTTTATAGCTATAAATTAGCCAAAGAAAATGGGAAAAGGGTAAGATTTTTCTCTTTTCCAAGTGAAAAGAAATTCATTTATCTTTTTGGTAAAAACTCAATGACACCCTAAGTAAAAACATTGATCACAGCATCTCATCCACAGAATATGCAGACAGTGAACAATTATTATTAAATAAAATTTGGAAAAGAATGAATTGAAGGTTATTCTTTACTCTTATAAGCAAATATGATCCAAATATGATCATTTAAACTACAGCTAGAATAACATTTCTCAAGGTTTGGGAGGATTGTGCATGTCTTTACTTTCTTTAAGGCACAGTATCACCTAGGCTGACTTTGAACTAGTCATTCTGTCTTAGTTCTTGAGCAGCTGAGACTATTGGCAGGCACTATGGTACCTAACTACTTCAAGATTTCCCTAAAATTTCCAAATTAAAACAAATAATTTATTTACACAATAACTAAAAGACAATGTGAGGAGAATATAAAAGCAAATCAGGTTGGAACCAACTACCTGTCGATATTACATGTCATCATCTGAACACAGCTAAACTAACACCCTACCCCACTCCTTTGAAACAGGGTCTCACTGTGTAGCCCTGCATGGCCTCATGGAACGCATAGAGATCTGCCTGCCTCTGTTGCCTGAGTGCCCGGATTATAATTGGGTGCTACTATGTTCAGATATGGGGCACAGCTAACCTTTCTTTTTTGTCCTTTTTTTTTTTTTTTTTTTTGGTTTTTCAAGACAGGGTTTCTCTTGTGTAACAGTCCTGGCTGTCCTGGAACTAGGCAAGCACTACCATCTCCCAACCCAGTTAGCCCCCGCTTTTTTTTTCTTTTGGTTTTTCGAGACAGGGTTTCTCTGTGACTTTAGAGCCTGTCCTGGAACTAGCTCTTGTAGACCAGGCTTTTCTAATATTTTTATCTAATACTGCCAAAATTAAATTTATAAAAATGCAAATTCATATTTACCTACTCTATGTAAACAAGTCACAAAATAGCAAAAACCAAGGGCCAAAATGGGCAAGCACATGTTTTATGTGACCCATACAAGTTTGCTTTCCATTTTGTTACTAAAATTTAGCAGTTTTTATGCATTTATTCTCTTGGTTTTGTCTTCTCTTGTTTCTTTGAGACAGTATCACACTGTGTAGCCCAGGCTGAAACAGAACTTATGATTCCCCCTTTCTCAGCCTGGGATGCTGGGATGACAGGAGTACAGACCATGCCTGATTTATTTATTTATTTTTTTAAAGAAAAACATCTAGATTTTTTTTTCTAGTTTCCCATGTAAACACAGGTTCTGGCAAGATGGGACACATTACCACACTCAGGGCGAGCCCAGCAGTGGGTGTTCATCCCACTTCACACTAGCTAAAAAGAACTCTCCAACCTCAGTCCTCTGTCATCCTCCTGCCTCTGCGTCAAGCCCTTGCACCTCTATCTTTCCTTCCTTACTATATTTAATAAAAATGGGATCAGGATATTGAGTCACACTGGTGGCTGATACAAAAAAAAAAAACATAAGAAGTAGTAACCTTAATTAATAAGAAATAAGACAGTAACAAGAAATGTAGGCAACTGATTCTGAAGAAACTGCAGAGGTTAAAACAAACTCTAAGTAAAGACTCTTGAAGAAACAAAATAGTCTACTAAATCATGAAGCGGTTTCTGAACAGGACTCAAACAGCACTAAGCACAGAGGAAACCCCGACAGTGGCCTATGAAAAGGTCAGTGGACAGATCTGACTTGTTCTCTGACCTGGAGTCTCTGAAGAGTTGGACAATGGGGCAGACGCCTCCGCTAAGGCAGCTAATGTAGCTAATACTGATGTAGAGGAGTTCCCAAACTGAACAGCAGATACTCCTGTTTCATCTACAAGAGAAGAAAAGAGAATTTAAATCAGGGTGCTTAACCCAATGCATCCTGCTCATCTACGTCCACTCAAGTCTTAACTAATGCTGGACAGCATGGTGCTGCACTGCTGTCACACGCTGTAAGACTGCCTTTCTTCAGATTCATCTACCTTAGAAGGATGGAGACCGGAGAGCAGATGTTATTCTTACCCTCATTGTCCAAGTGTCCTTCCTTAAACTGATGATACCTACTAATGTAACATCCTAACAGCTGTCCTACATGCATCTCAATACCTGTTGCCTTGGATGAATTTTCTGAAGATACCAGACCTGTTAGGTTCACCACCCCTCCAGGTCCAATGATGAACTGTGGTGTGGCAGTGTGTATTGTCACAGTGTCAGGACTCTCCGGGTTGGTGTTGATTTGGTTCTGCATAGCAATCTAGGGAACAAATTATCACAATACTTTCAGAATTACAGGCAGCACATGTGGGACAGGCTTTCAATGCAGTACATAAATATACATATGAAGAAGCAGTCTCTCAGAAGAGTCACACAATTCAATGGGAAGACTTGCTAATGAAGCACCGAGAGTGCAGCTCTAAGTATAGGTGTGAATTCACACCCTATAGCCTTCTGTTGAGTGACAGCAAACCCCACTGGAGGAGAAATTAGTATCTGAAAGGTGCCTACAGAACGCATGAAAGGTAGTCTACTGTTCCGTCAAATTAAATTATTTCTACCACACTAGGCAATATATAACATGACATATTAAAGTATGACCTTCCCATTTAATTGTTCTCAATCTTTAAATCTCAACCCTTAAAGTGTATTCCTAGATATGAAAAATGAGAAGAGTCAACGTAAAACTCATTATTTCCCAGCACATAGCACATCTCATAAGTAAGTTGTGGAGTTCAATGAAGTCAGGAGATCTCAGAGAGTTCTACTGAGAACAGAACAAGAAGACAAGCAAGAAGGAATCCTGCAAACACAACTATGTCTACAACAGTTGTTTTGTTTTTACAGAGGGTGAAAAAAAGAAAGAAACCAGAATAACAGACTGTATCACAAACCCTGACAAAGTTCTGCCACTCTCAGTCAGCTGTGTCTGCCCTGGTGCCTACTGCGTGTGCCACTGGAAGCGCTAGCCCTGTCGAGGGGCTGAGGGAAAGACAGGGTTAAAAGGAGGAGCTGCCTAGGGAAATTCCCAAAAGCTGCACCATGAGAAAAAGGATGTATGGGGAAGGGGTTATCTAGACAGGAATCAAACCCAACTGGGAATCACTTTTATCTAAAGTAAACCTTTTCATTCACATCCCTGGGCAGCTAAGCCCAGACAAATAAAAGCCCTGCATAGTGAGACAGACCAGCTTGCTAGATCCCAATTTACATTTTAAAAAATTTGCACATAGTAGTAGACAAAGTAAATTTAAAATAAAGAGGGGGTCAGGACAGTTCAGTGAATAAAGGAACTTGCCAGAGAAGCTTGAAGACCTTAGTTCAGTCCCCAGAACCCACGTGAAGAAGGAGAGGTGCCTCCAGTTACCCTCTAACCACCCTACACCTGCCCCACACCATGCATAATCAATTCTAATTTTTGAAACAGACAAAATAGATTATAAAAAAGATTGTATCACTCATCAGAGGGACATTAATTTCTGAGTCTTTATAAAGTAGTTTACAACTGATTTGATAAAACATGACATCCAAATGTGTGACAAAATAATTATGTCTAGAAGGGGATTCAGAAACTGAGAGCACAGAGGTTAGCGCCTCATCTAACTTTCCAGAGCACAAACAGTAATGAACAGAGAGGAAGTGGAGAGAACAAGGCCATTCAAAAGAACTGAATCCAACAGGAGAAGCTACAAGACAAAGAGTATCCATCTGTAAGCTGCCTTTCATGTTTTCTTAAACTCAAAGCCAAGTTACCTGTAATATCTCTGCTAAATCTTCATTTCCATTGTCTATTGAAATATCAAATGCAGTTTTACAAAATTTACTCTGCGTGTGTACATCAGCACCATATTTGATTAAAAGTTCCACCACCTCTTGATGATTATGTTCTGTTGCCCAATGCAGAGCTGTCATCTTTAACATATCCTTTGCATTGACGTCAGCACCATGCTAAAAAATATTTCAAAATCAGTAATATTTCAAGATATGAAATATAAAGAATCCCTGATATGAGAATATCAGCCACAATGCTTCTACACAAGAAAAAGGACCATTAATTTGAGGGGAGGGGTGTTAATATATGTTATTGATATATGTTAGCAATCATCAGTTATCTGTGACCTAATCATTTTTCTACCATGATTGTTTTCCTAGTTACTTTCCTTTCTTGAAATAAGACAATTATGTTTTTAGCTACTCAATTCGGGGCACAATGGGCTAGAGTGGCCTTACAGGCGAACAGCAGCTGAGTTTTCCTCTGGAACACTTTAATGGTTTATGGTGGATAACCCTCTCATCCCTCACAATTAAATATACCCTTTGCTTTCAAAACAAGCACAACCCAAGGAGTCAAAAGGAAGCTGTCTGAGGCAGTGTCTGCTATGTCAGGCAAGGAATGGCTGGCTAGTCAGCATACTTCAGCTCATCAGGTACAGGTGCGCTTTGCATAAATAAGCCCTGGAGCTCAGTAACAAATAGAATATGAAACATCCCAGCAACGATTTCCACTCTTCTCTCATGTTGAAATGATAATGTTTTAAACACAAAAAATTAAATATTAAAATGAGTTTTTACTTTTTTTTGTTTGCTTTTGGTTTTGGTTTTGGTTTTTCAAAATAGGGTTTCTTTGTGTAGCTTTGGAGCCTATCCTGAAATTCACTCTGTAGACCAGGCTGGCCTCGAACTCACAAAGAACTGCCTACATCTGTCTTCCAAGTGCTGGGGTTAAAGACACATGCCACCACTGCCCAGTGAATTTTTATTTTTTCATGTGGCTTTAGAAATACCTAGGATTACATGTAATTTGTCCTCTAGATTTCCTTGCATTTCTTTCACATGGGTTCATCTATAGGTTAGGATGAAAAGGGTCAAGGATAAAGGCTGTCATTGTCTGAGAATCTTCTGTGTGACCTAAAGATAATTTAATTAGATTTTAGATGACTAAAGATAATTTAATTACTTATTAATCTGCATGCTAGTCATCCAAGACTATTCTTCCCTGCATAGGATTCTGACTGAATTAAGTTCTTCACCCAAAGGACTTACTTTCAATAGTTAGCAATTAACTGAGAATACACCTACAGGAAGATTTTTCCCTACAAAGAAAACTTTAAGGCAATATTCATTTGACAGACTTATACACATCAATAACAAACGCTCTATCACACAAAAAAACCAAAAAGTAGGTACTTAATAAAACTCTTTCCTTTTTTCATCTTACAAAGTTTGTATGGGGTTTGGATTCAAAATCTAAGTACAAAAAGAAGACATACCTTAAGTAAAACTTCTACTATGCTGGCATGGCCCTCAGAAGCTGCCATGTGCAATGGTGTCCGGTCCACTTTGGTCCTGGCATCCCTACTTACACCGGCTCGGAGAAGTACCTCTGTGGTAGAGTAATGCCCATACTGTGCGGCCAGATGAAGTGGAGAAGTTCCCAACTATAACATAGGAACACACGCATACACATGCACAAAAAAGAAATTCCAGGTTTTAGCTGCTTTTAATATACTTTTACTACAAACTATATTTTTAAACAGTGATGCACATTACATTGTGTATTTGAATTACTATGTAATTCACACATCAAAAGAAATTACTCAATTCAGGCTTATCTTCACAAGCCCTCAAGAGGTCCCACACATGTATCAGTGTGGAAAGGTCAGTGGTCCCTTTTCATTCAATTCTCTTCTTGCCCCTTCTTTCCCTTTCTCTACAGTTAGACAAGATCTCAAACTTGAGATCCTGCCTCAGCCTCCTAGCTCTTTATTACTAACAGAAAAACAACCTTAATTAATTTTATTGAAAATTAGAGCTAATTATGACCTGAGAATTAAGACGAGCTTCATATCAGAGGGGTGTATCTAGATAGGTGAAGTTTATAGGTCACATTATATTACATGCATTAAGAAGCACAGAAGAGCTCACTAATTCCGATTGCCAGTCAATGACGTTAAAAGAGCTATTTCACCAGAACATGAACTTTGCCAGGCTGTCATTGTTAAATAGCAACTGTTTTAATTTTTTATTTATTTTAGATTTACTAATTTTACTTTATGTGTATGAATGTTTTGCCTAAATACATGAATGTGACATAATCCCAAGAACTGAAGTTATAGATAGCTATGAGCCAACAAGTGGGTACGTGAAATTGAACCCAGGTCCTCTGCAAGAACAAGAGTACTTAACCACTGAGTCATCTCCCTAGGCCACCATCTTAGTTTTTAAACCACTCTCTATGGACCTTCGTTTACTGGTTTCATAGCACGGGTACTATTATTACCTTGATAAGGCAGTAAAGGAACCTGAAGTACAGAGAGGTCACCAATTTGCCTAAAGCCACATAAGTGACATAATACAAAACAAACCTTAGAAATAATTAATTACAACAAAAATCATTTATTTTATATAGGTTTTAACAGACCCTCACAGATCAAAGATGAGACTGTTGAATAACCCTTTCTTTCATGCTTTGTTGTATTTTTATATAACTAGCCTTTTCTCTACTCTCATAGTCTATATTTAATGAAAACCTTTAACAGTACACCAAACAACCACTGAGATTTACGAGATTTACTCAGTGAAGTACTGAGGTCTACTTTGTATTTCTATTGTTATTCTTGATATTTTTCCTTTTTGGTTTACATGCAAGAAAAAAATATGTGTAACATGCATACTTACATGTAGTTTCAAGAATAGTTAATGCCTGTAAAGTCAACACCAGAGTCTGGAAGGAAAACCTGTCTAGTAATTTTAAGTCCTCCTACATGTTGTCCTCCGATCATAATAAACCCTTCCTTAGTCGGATAAATGCTACTCAAAAAAGAATTGATTCTGGTATGTATGTGTGGTATAGTTCTAGGGATCCAAACCAAGGCCCTCATACTTGCAGCGCAAGCATTTTACCCACTAAGCCGTTTCAGAATTTTCTGACAAGCACTGCTTTTATTTCTATCAACCACAAACCCTTAAATGGTATAGTTGATTCTTTACTAGTTTGATTCTTTACATGTACTTCTGATTTTTCAACTTAATATTATGTTTACAAAATGTTAATGGGCATAAATATAGTACACTAACTTGCTCTACAACATTCCACTCCATGAAAAAGCTGTAGACTAATCAACTGATGAAGACTGCTTTGTTAACGCTTTGTTATTATAAACAATTCTGCTACAGAGGGTCTTCTAGTAACTTAAGCACATAACCAAGATTTTATTCAGTATTCTAGCTCAACTGATACAAATGGCATATACATATTAAAATTTATTAAGCATGGTCAAGTTGTCCTCCAAAATGGCTACATCAATTCACCTTTGTACCATCTCGTCACCGATGCTGGCCCTACTTTTCATTCACTGGGAGCTGACCACAATTTCATGTCTACCGGCCATCCTAACTTTATCTTGGTGAAGTGCCACTCTGAGTCACCTGTTGGTCCATTCCTGACCCACAGGAACTCCTTGTATACATACAGTGGACACTAATTCTTATTTACATGTATTTACATACATGGTACTACAGCACCATGATGAAATATCTAGTATGCATTTAAAAAGAATTATTTATCTTATGTGTATGAATATCTGCATGTATGTCTGTGCACCGTTATGTATGCAATGCCTGTAGAGTTCAGAAGAATCCTCTGGAACTGAAGTTTCAGGCAGTCGTGAGCTGCCATCTAAGTGCTGAGCAATGAACCCAGGTCCTCTTCAAGGGTGACAAGTGTTCTCAACCAGAGACAGCTCTCCAGCCTCATAGGCACACATTTTCAACAAGCTGACTACTATAAATTTGTGGGTACTTATCAATTCTGGAAATTCTAAGCAACTGAACTTCAATCTACTTCACCCTGATCCACACTCATTTTGTGGGTCTACTATACTGATGAGTACTGGGCTGCTTCCAGCTTTGTTAGCATGTATAATGTTCATTTTGTGGGTCAGTGTCTCTCACCACTCCTGATATCACATTCTGTGTGTCCACATTTCACGCTGGGTTTCCTACCACCGGCTCTAAGCTGTCTGCAGTTGTCTCTCACTAGTTCCTAGTCTCTTCAGTCCTCAGGTCTGCCCACTGTCAGGTTGTCTCAGTGAGACCTCCCAGCTGCTTTGTGCTTCGGTGTTACTCAACTGCTAGTTCCCTTGCAATTTCAGTAGTAGATATAAAGTTGGAATTTAAAAACATAGGCTTCTGAGGGGACATGAATTTGCTTCTGCCAGGGACCTGAGCACAAAGGAACTGTACATTCACTCCTCTGCCTAGTTTCTCGGGGACACAGGTGTTTGACTTCAAATGCACGAGACATGGCTTGTGACCCCAAACTCCCTTCAATAAACTTTTCTTGCTCTCCCTCAACACCGATTAACATTTATTTATTTGCAGTGCCCCACGCTGGGTCTCACTATGAAGCTTTGGCTATCCTTGGAATTCATTACACAGATCCACATGCCTGTGCCTCCCCGGTCACATTTCTTACAGTTTCTCAAGCAGCAACGGAAAGGCAAGCTTCTTTTTTCAGGAGCAGTTAGTTAAATCCCCATCTTCACTATATTGTGAATTAGCGATTCTTTCCCTGTTAATCTTTGAATTGAATCCAGGCAGCTATATGTGTAATCACACCAAACTAGTGCAGTTCAAAGTCCTTACAACAACCTTTATTCATAGATATTGATTGGATATGACTATTATCAAGAAAACAATATGCGCAATGTGTTCATTTAAAAGACAATTTAATTAGGAATTGGAGAAATGGCTCAGCCACTGAGAGGATGCACTTCTCTTGCAGATGACTCAGTTTCAGGTTCTAGCACTCGTGTCCGGTAACTAACAACTGCCTGTAACTCAGCTCCAGGGGACCCAACACCTCTGACTTCACCTCACAGACAACTGCAGTTACATGAACATGAACATATCCACACACATAAACAAATTAAAAATTATAAAAATAAATCCTTCTAAAAGATAGTTATAATTATAAAATCTGAACAAATAACCCCCAAAGTGAGTATGTGTATATTATATCATTTACAAGCATAAATACTGGCTAAACTTTTATCTGGGAAGAAGGAAGGAGGAGGAAGAAATAAAGCAACATTAAATCACTCTTTACCCAGTCTGTAGTAAAAGGAGCTCCATTTGCCATCAAAATACGAACTTCGTCATCTTGACCTGCTCGTGCCGCTTCTAAAAGCTTCTTCCCCAAATCTACCAGGGACATCTGGATGAAACACATGAACTGACATCAGCATCTCCATTATATACTGTGAATGACTCCCCCTCATTCCTAATTCTCAGTTATCCCTTCAAGTGTGCTATGGTTAATCTAAAACTAAAGATCACACAAAACAATTTATATTTTAATTCTTAAAATATATCTCTTTTCTCACTAAGTTTTTACCTGAGTAAAACTGGTTTAAACTCTCCACACATGGCCAGTAAACGACAGACGACGTAAAGCAGCAGGCACAGTGAGCCTGAGAATTAAAAGTGGCGTCTATTTTTATTGGAGCCTGATGACATTGTTATAAAGTACAGTTAAAGTACGAGATATTGTCTCCCCACCCTCTTCTAAAACAGTGAGTGTGCTCAAATTCTAAAACACAGGCCTTCTGCTCAGGGGCACACAGTGCACACCTATGTCTTCATACTCCACACATGTACTAAAAAGCAGTCGGGCAGTGGCGGCATACTTAATCCAGCACTCAGGAGGCAGAAGCAGGCAGATCTCTGTGAGTTCGAGGCCAGCCTGGTCTACAGAGTTCCAGGACAGGCTCCAAAGCTACAGAGAAATCCTGCCTCAAAAACAACAACAACAACAACAACAACAAAAAAGTACTAAAAAGGGAGTTGAATGGTCTTCTGGGCAGGACACGTGTCTTACTATAAATCTACAGAGATTTTATCTTGAATTCAAAAATTCTCTAAAGGCTAATGTCCCAGTCAAGGGAGGGAGAAGAAAGGAGGAGGCAGGGAAGATAGACAGATGTGTCAGAAAAGGCCAAGACAGGAATCCATAGGTGAACAAAGACTTGAACTGGTCACAGGAGTTCATATTCCAGAGACGGTCATTCTGAGGAGTGGCCAGAAGCTTACTCTTTTACACTGTAGAATATGCTTTGGAAAGAGAACTGAGAAAACTGCAGTTCTCTGAGACAAATCTTTTGAGATTTAGTAAGAAAAAGATGTGGCTGGGATTCAAATTTGTCTAAAACAGAATACACACACAAGGTAAAACGTCATAAATGAGAAGTGAACCACAGGGCAGGAGTGACGTATGTCAACAGCCTCCGCTCACGAAAAACACATGCGACAGTGACAGATCTTGGAATGGTATTTCTTCCAGGAAGGGATAAAATATGCTATATACTTAGAAGAAACGCTAGGAGGTACAAAAGAGGTAACTACAAGAAAATCTTAAGTTCTGGAAAGAACTATGCCCAATTCTCTTATATTTTAGTAGATCCTGTAATGTAAGAGCATTCATGCCAAACCCAGGAATAACCACAGAAAACCTTGAACACCAGGTGGTATGCGCAGATGAGATTTCTTAGGAGTTATTCTTTGTATAACAATAAAAGAATTCATAACCTATGCTGTGGTAAGAGAAAGCTGACATACGCAGTTGTAGAGTTGATATGGGTTTTTCTTTGTGTTTTTGTTTGCATGTGACACTTGTAACATTTCTTTTACCTTTGACCTTCTAGTTTTCTTTCCCTCCCCCCCTCCCATTTTTCTCAGTAACCCAAGGTCTTTAATCACTGCAAACACACTGAACTTCTGATCTCTGACAGAGGTCTTTCCCTCAGAGACAACAGAAGTGTAACAGTAACCATCACACTCAAAAGGCAGTGGAAGCTTAAGCAGTGCTATTAAAGACAACATAATCTTTAAAAGAGAAAGGAAAAGTTGATCCCTTCCCTATAGATGTATTGCAAACTCCAAACTATTGAACACAATATCCATACTGTAGATAAGCCAAATTTCACTTAAATCTGTCTCTAAAATAAAACCTATCTTTCAAATAAACATTTTTAATGTTGTATACAACAGAAACACTTTACAGTGTTTATACAGTCAGATGAGTCTATTTGGCATACACAGTGCCAGACAAAGAAATATCTGGAGCATATCTACAACATGCCAGACTAGATTTTTCTCATTCTGAAATTAGTCTGTCTTCTTTTTTCATCTTGATTTGTATACATTCTGGATAGTAGGTCCTTTGTCAAATATAAAATTATCAATAACTCCTTTTCAAATCCTGATTTCTTTACTCTCTATCCCATTATCTTTGATATCATATACTATCTTCTATGCATAAGTAACTTAAGTTTTATATAAAAAATGTGATATTTCTACATATTCAAAAATAAAAGTCAGTCTTAGTGACATATATCCATGTCTATACCCCAGCACTCAATGAAGTGGAGGCAGGAGAATCTTGAGTTTGAAGACATTTTTTAGTATATTTATAATATGTTCATACCTGTGCAAGACCTTGACTCAGCAAGCAAAAACACACAAACAAAGAAAAAATAAAATCAAGAACAGAAGATGTATGCTTAGCACCAAAGATAACTAGCATATGCTAACTTTTTAATTATTTAAGAGGTCTGACTCAACAAGCCAGGGTAGAAGCAGGCAGGTGGTTCAGTGAGTTATGCACCTGGAGCACTCATGGTCCACTGACCTGCAGGCTTGGACTCTGTCCAAGGTCCAGCCTAGCTTTTACTGAGATGTTGGTTCTGGTGGGGGGGGGGGGGGATTCTGAAACCTCAGACTAATAGAATTCTCTTTTAGTAGGTATAGTCCTCCTTAATTGCAACTCAACTAAAAAATGCTTTAGAGCCAGAAGATAGTGGCACACGCCTTCAATCCTAGCACTCAGGAGGTAGAGGCCCATTGATCTCTGAGTCAGGGCCAGACTGGTCTACAGAGGGTGTTCCAGGGCAGCCAGGGAAAAGCCATCTCGGAAAAAACAAACAAAGAAACAAATAAAAGTTAAATGCTTTATAGTTTGGGGCAATGAAACGAAGGCTGGAATCAAAATATTCTGAGTTTTAAAAACGATGGCAATGTAAAGGCCCAAATGGCACAGTGTTTGAAAGCGACCTGTAAACATTTAGCACATCTGAAATCTGCAGTTGTTACAGGTGTCTACACATACATCCCACTTTCAGAACAGATTTTGCAAATTTTACACAGACAAAAAAAGACAAAAGTTTTTAATAAAAGAAATTGCATTTATAAATGATCTATATTAGAATATAAGAAATCTCCAGTTATAGACAAGTACTACCCATGTTGTACAACAGATATCTTCCATTTTGGTTGCTAATAAAAGACTACACAATGCAAAAAAAAAAAGTCTGACTCAAAATAAAATGAGGTAGGAAGCATAAACAAGAATCCAACAAAGTAGCAAAAGAACATGACGCACATGTATTCTGAAAAAAGAAAGGACTTGCTGGCTGTCACTGACAGATGTAAAATTATTTATTTATTTGTTTGTTTGCTTGTTTGTTTTTCAAGACAGGGTTTCTCTGTAGCTTTGGAGCCTGTCCCAGAACTAGCTCTTGTAGACCAGACTGGCCTTGAACTCACAGAGAACTCACTCTGCCTCCCAAGTGCTGGGATTAAAGGTGTGCGCCACCACCACCCAGCATAAAATAATATTAAAGTGTGATTTAACTTACACTTTCATGTACTGCTCTATACTGTATGCAAACAGCAGTTAAAAGTAGACTAACTTTAACTTTATTTAACAAATTTGTTAAAATATTTAAGACTGTTGCTGGGCACTCAGGAGGCAGAGGCAGGCGGATCTCTTTTGAGTTCAAGGTCAGCCTGGTCTACGAGAGCTAGTTTTGGGACAGGCTCCAAAGCTACAAAGAAACCCTGTCTTGAAAAACAAAACAAAATAAAAGTGTCAAAAACCCACTGATTAAATTACTTCCCCTCAATGATCCTATTCTAAAGAGAAAATATAGATAAGTGACATTTGAAACAATCTAAAGGCAGAAAAGTAGTTCAGTTAGAGAAACCACAGGATGCAAATGTTTGAAGCTATATAACACAGAGTTATGTGATGCTAAGCCAACAAACAGTTTGCATATCAAAACGTGTATAAAGAACAAAATATAGTAACAGGTGTGGTGGCATACAGATGTAATCTCAGCAACTGTGAGACTGAAGTAGATAAAAGGTCATAAATTCAAGGTCAGCTGGCGACACAACCTGCCTTGGAATATATATGTATCATACTTTTGGATCACCTGTTGATATTTTTAGTACTATACATAACATATGATATATGTAAGTACAAATATGTATATATTAGTTCTAAAATATTAGCAAGTGATCCAATAGTATGATTATGGGGAAATTTCCCATTTTACAGTTTCTGCAGTGTTACTATTCTGCCTACTTAATTTTAAAACAAGAATTATAAAGGAACAAGTTTCATTGTGCAGCTGTTCACTAAGTAAATGTCACACTGAAGAAAGTCTGACGTGCCTGTCTTACTAAACAGGAGTGGAAAAAATAAAGGATGCTGAAGAGCAGAATTGATGATCTACACTACACTACAGTTGAGCATTTGAATAAATGTGCTCCTATAACTTCCATGTTTCAGTTACTCAGAACCTGCAGAGTTGATGATCTACACTACACTACAGGTGAGCATATGATAAATATCCTCCCGTAACTTCCCCAAGTTTTAGCTATTCAGAACCTATCATGTTTATGATCCTAGGTACTGAAACTTTTGTGTTTTGTTTTTTTGTTTTTGTTTTGTTTTTTATTTTAACCCACAAACAGATTCAAGTCACCAGACTAAGAAATCACTGGTCTCAAAAAGCAGCAACACTGCCCTCTAGGGACCCTTTGTAAACGTAGGGGAGGCATCTGAGAAATTAAAAGTGGAGAAGGCTCTAGCATGTCATGGTCCAGCCAAGAATACGAGAAGTCTCACAAGAACCGTCACATGTTCTGGATTCCCTGCTGGAACAGCATACACTCTTAATCACGGAGCCTTCTCTCCAGTCCCAAAACTGTAATTTCTATTTTAACTTAACAGAAGAAATCAAATTATTTTGAAAGGTAGAAATGAATCTAATGGAAAGAAAATAAGAGGTGGAGAGATGGCTCCATGGTTAGAGTACTGGACACTCTTTCAGAGGACCTGAATTCAGTTCCCAGCACACATAAGTGGCTCAA